TTAATGACTCGGGAAGTCATATTGTATAAACATTGATGGTATATCTAGATACCATACTATTCATACATTGATGACCTACTCAATTGTCATACTAATCATGTTTTAGAAGCTCTTTCTCAAAAACTCAGTTTAAAACTTAAGTGTTGTCTAAAAAAAAGCTTCTCAAGATTTATAACTCAAAATAGGGTTTATGTTGAAATATACTGATAATGTGGCATTCAAAATTGGAGCATGTATATTTGAATAACTGAAATATCTGACCTAGCATGTGTAATTCAAGAACTAAAGAAATACATAGCTAGAGTTCTGAAATTCATGCAATAAACTGAGCATTAACATGATAATCTTATTTGGAACATTTAAATTACTAATTCATGATGATCTGTTGAAATCCTAGAAACCCTAGGTCTGTTCATAATCATGGAATCAAGAAATTGACTGAAAACTAGGGACCTAATGGATGAAAGGAACCCACTAGTGAAATCCCACATACCTGGTGACGAATTCCACGGAGAAATCCTTCAATTTCGGGGCTGGAACTGATGGAACCTTGCTGCGTTCTTGAACTAGGGTTCTTGGCCTTTTTCTCCTCTCCTGCTTCTAATTTTCTATGTTTTGATTAATGACTTGACTTAGGTAAGTTCTAGTTATGTTTCTACGCCTAAACTAACTAAAACCTCATGATTTTTAGGGTCTAAACGACGTAGCTTAAGGGTATAACGAAATAGGAAAATACCAAAAGACCCCTGACTTAACTACTGTCGGAGTGATCGACGGACAGGACTGACGGGCCGTCATTCAATTGACGGTCCGTAGAATGGGTCCGTAAGTCAAGCCTGCACGACATGCCTTTACTAAAAGAGCATAACTTTATACTCGGATGCCAGATTTTAGCAAACTCAGCGGCGTTGGAAAGAGGATTCAATTATCTATCATATCATAGGTGATTGGACACATAATTCATTTTGTGCTAAGAGTTATGACCATTCGAAGTTGACCCAATTATCAATTTCCCCCTAATTGGCTGTTGGCCTTCACCAACGATCATACCTACGACAGTGGATTGAATGACAGTCCGTGCTGGTCTGCCATCGTTTGCGACTGAAGGATGAAATCTAAAGTGTGAAACTGAAAGTTGGCTGGCCCATCGATGGAGCTGACTGACGGTCCGTAGGTGGCATCCGTCAGTGGCACATGCAACTTCTGAAAATCTAGAAATTTTTTTCCTTTATCGAATTTGGAGTGTTACAAATGGTAAACTTGGAGCCAAATTTTGGATTGGACTGAAGATTCTAAGTTATAGGTCAAGTCACAAGATATATATCTTTTTCTCTAGTTGTACTTTTTGTTTTGATAACACTGGTGCCTGGGAACAACTTGCGTGCACCTCGACTAATTCCACGGGATACCTGCCACCTCTCACTAGCCAATTAACTCTGCCCACCAAGGCTAGGATCCTAGGACTGATGAGAAGAAATCACTTAGTGTTTTTGTATTTACGGGGATTTGAACCTCAGATCTCATGGTTCTCAATCCACTTCATTGACTAGTAGGCTACAGGTGCTCCATCTGTACTCAAAGAATGTACAAAAGCATTTTCCAATCTTTAAATCTTTTTCCACTTCTGTTGGAATTTGAGTCTGCCTTGTCTAATATGCTTTCAATCAGTCAATTTTCATATATGTGATGTGTTCCTTACAATATCGTTATAGATGAATTATGACCTCCCTAGTTGTGTATATCTTCTTTCCCCTTAGGTTCTCTTCTTGTATCAAAACGGTGCTCTAGAGGAAATTTTTTTTCTACCCTCTTACTTTTTCATCTTGCTTGTTTTTGCTCCAAAGATGAAATTCTTAATGATTGATAGTTGTATTCACCAATTTTTGCAATAATAGCTTGGGCCATGGTAGGATTAACTGCATTTTTATATTTTGGATCTACTTACTTTTGAAGGCATTTAAACAATCATTTTCAAATTTATGGTTGGACTCAAAGAACCCTAGACTTGAGGCTTAATAGTGTTTGATAAAAGCAGGGAAGACAAAAGCAGGAGCAAAATGAATTACTCTTTCAGCAGTTTGGTATCAACTACAAGGACCTTCCGCAGATTTTTCGTCAAGGGTCTTGTGCCATCAAGATAAAGGTAGTTACCTTCATCCCCCTTCTCCTAGAAGAGTATATATTGGTATATGCATGTGATGCATATGCCACTATCCCTTTTTTCGTTTTTTAGATTTGAAAGATAGATAAATATGACATTTGGATATGAAAAACATTGTTTTGAAAACAATTGATGTGTGTGCTTTTCTGTTTTAGAAGATTTGTTTTAGGAATTTTTTTGAAGAATGGTTAAGTATTAAAAAATTGAGGCAGAAGAAATGGTTTTGATAGCTTTTCGAACGAGAGAGAGAAAGAGAGAGGACACTTCTGTTTTTGTCTATCTTTGTTAACAAACTTACCCTAAGGACCGCACACACACTCTCTTTTTGTTCTAAATTCTTCTCTTTCCTTATTGCAAAAAGTAAACCTAGCCCTATAATCTTAGAGAAGTGTTTTTTTTTTTTGGGTAGAATTAGCAGGTTCTTTAACTTGAAATTAAAATGTTAGCGTATTCATACAGTTAAATGGTACACCTAAAAAATGGGTAAGAGTAGTAGTAATTGAACTCCACAGTCTGAGCCTTATTAAGGTCATCCTATTGTTGTGCTTTTTCATGGAGCAGTTATGTGTAACTCTTATATTTTTGATATAAAAATGACATGTGCATTAAAGGACTCTTTTGCGGCAAGTAGACATATTCTTTTCATGTTTAGATTTTACCTCTCAATCACAAAAAGACTGACCCAAGCTCTATGCTTAAACCATGAACTCTCACCCCCACCTATAGGGGTAGGAAGGGAAGAGAATGAGGTATATGCGATGCAGTTTGCTCATCACTATACGTGGGTACTTCATATCATGCATCTTCATGTCCAGGGAAGGAGCCACCTTATACTGAGGGAGTTCGAACCTCCTTCGGCGGAAAATTATCTTATTTATACATGGTTAAAATATTTTTTTTATGTATATATGGTAGATATTGAACCCTCTTCGGCTACTTCGTCTGTCTATTTCTACAAATTTTGAACCCCTTATTGAAAATTTCGGCTCCGCCACTGTTCATGTCCACTTTGACAATTTATATTATCCATTTTAACACAGGTGGACGATATTGTGAAATACCGTGAAGATGGCACTCCTGTTAAAAGACCAAGGAAGAAAGCAATCATAGTTCACTCAGAAAATGTTGCAACAAAAAGGTTCTGGAATAACTACACATGCCTTACCGAGGAACTTGGCTCGCTCGCTGAAGGGATTAACAAGATTAAACCCGAGTATTTGAGATCTTTCCAATTTGAAAGCAGGTTGATGTTATCTACTTGGATTGTAGTCCGGGTAGATGGTTGTCATTTCCACAGGTAATTTATGCCTTTATTTATGTCAATTGGTCTTCTCTTGTATGTGATGCTCTTTAGACTAAATTATTCTTTTTGCTTCAAATCCCACGTTTCATGTCAAAATGATGTGGCATTATTCTTGCTTCTTATTTTCATCAAGCATAAAATTTTGTAGGTAATATGCATTTTCTGGATAATATAATCCATGTTTCAGTGGGAGCTGGTTTTTCTTATATGCCTATATGGATTTCTACCTTCGGATTAAAGAAAAAACTCCAAGCACTTCCCAAGATAATTTTCTATTATGACGTGGAAACAACAGTGAAGTTGTACAAAACATTTCGGATCCATAAAAAATGTCAGACACAAGTGCACGGTTGTAATATATGCATACACATTTATAAAATATATATATGTAATTTCACAAGTATAAAGTCATGTCAAATATTGAGCATGTAATTTGAGAAATCTAGTTTGGACTTGCTGGTTTCATGATCTTGATGGGATCCACTGTAGGTTTTGTGAAGATAATGGCTTTCAGAAGCCAAATGATGAACATGCACTGAAACTTATGAACTCTTGTGCGGTTTCTTTGCTGAAGATGTTTAAGGATATTATCTTTGCATATGGGATGAGTGATGAATACAGGTATTAGTTCATTTAACGTCTTTGATTCACGTTTAACATACCTTTTCCTTTTCCTATTATCTTTTATCTTGAGAGATCAATTTTTCTTTCAGCTTTGTTTTGAAGAAAGATTCTGTATTGTATCAGAGGTGGTCAAGGTAACTCTTTCATCACCATTTTTAAGTTCCTAGGTAAGTGTAGTGTTTAGCTAAAACCACATATTAGGAGGAAACCAATTCAAGGTCAAAAGCAAATTCTTCTTCCTGTTTCTAGAATCCATGATGCATATAGATTATTTTGACACCACTCAGCTGCTGTTGCCAACCTTCAAGAACATAGTGCAATTTGAACAACATGCTAAAAGATCCTGCAAATTCATTTCTTATGCGCAATGCGAGTTTTGTCAGAACGTGTCCTATAAAATGCTTGTTTGTCTGAATGGTGGAATTTCCCTTCTAGAATATTTTGCATTTGTAGTAAATCTGCTACATACAACGATTTCTCAAAGCTTTTTCATTAATTTGGTTGAAGTTTCAGGGTAGAGTCTATTTGGCAACTGTATGAGGGCCGTCCTCAACTAGTTTACATAATGTTTTTATATTGACTTTTTTTGTCGGCTATATTTGATGTGGTTATATTGACTTGCTCTTATGATCATCATTTCAGTGAAATCGTCTCAGCTGTTGTATCTCTTTTCTCTTCCATGTATGTGATGAAGTGGAAAGAGTTTTTTCCTGAGAAAGAGTTTAAAGAACCACCTTATTTTGATGGACGATCTGTTTGCTATCCATCATCTGAGATTCTTCGAGATTACTTGGCTTGGAGACAAGTTGATTGTGAGTACTCCCTATCTTATTTGTTATATAAGAATTTCAAGCAAATTAATCTGGTTATATGAAGAAATTTGGGTTTTATGACCTATTCTTCTTGCTGGCAAGCTAAAGAATGAATTGT